GCTGAGGCTGAGGCTGATGCAGGCTGAGGCCGAGGCAGGCTGAAGTTGAGGCTGAGGCAGGCTGAGGCTGAGGCAGGCTGAGACTGAGGCTGAGGCAGGCTGAGGCTGAGGCTGAGGCTGAGGCTGATGCAGACTGAGGCTGAGAGGCTGACGCTGAGGCTGAGGCAGGCTGAGGCTGAGACTGAGGCCGATGCAGGCTGAGGCTGAGGCTGAGGCAAGCCGAGGCAGGCTGAGGCTGAGGCTGATGCTGAGGCAGGCTGAGGCTGAGACAGGCTGAGGCTGATGATGCAGGCTGAGGCTGAGGCAGGCTGAGGTGAGGCCTGAGGCTGAGGCTGAGGCTGAGGCTGAGGCAGGCTGAGGCTGAGGCTGAGGCAGGCTGAGGCTGAGGCTGAGGCTGAGGCTGAGGCTGAGGCTGAGGCTGTGGCTAGGCTGAGGCTGATGCAGGCTTAGGCTGAGGCAAGAGGCTGAGAGGCTGAAGACTGAGGCTGAGGCTGATGCAGGCGCATGCTGAGAGGCTGAGTCTGAGGCTGATGCAGCCTGAGCTGAGAGCTGAGAGGCTGAGGCTGAGCTGAGGTGAGGAGGCAGGCTGAGGCTGAGCTGAGGCAAGCCGAGGCAGCTGAGGCTGAGGCTGAAGCTGAGGCAGGCTGAGGCTGAGGCTGAGGCTGTGGCTGAGGCTGAGGCAAGCTGCGGCCGAGGCAGGCTGAGGCTGAGGCTGATGCAGGCTGAGGCTGAGGCAGGCTGAGGCTGAGGCTGAGGCAGGCTGAGGCTGAGGCTGAGGCCGGGGCAGGCTGAGGCTTAGGCCGAGGCAAGCCGAGGCAGGCTGAGGCTGAGGCTGAGGCTGAGGCTGAGGCCGAGGCAGGCTGAGGCTGAGACAGGCTGAGGCTGAGGCTGAGACAGGCTGAGGCTGAGGCAGGCTGAGGCTGAGGCCGAGGCAGGCGAATCCTTTGGAATCCTTAGGATTCCTAGGAATCCTTAGGAAGGAACCCCTAGGAATCAGGATTCCTAAGGTTTCCTAAACAAAGTCACAGTGTTTCCTTGCATCCTAGACCGACATATCCAGAACAACCAACAATACACAGCGTTTCCTTGCTCCGAGGGCGCCGAACACTGTGTATTCTTGGTTTTGCGTTGCTACAGAGAGGAGGAAGCGGAAAAGGAGAAGGAGGAGAAGGATGATGGGCGAGGAGGAGGAGGAATTGTGTTTGGAGAAGGAGGAAAGGGAACAGAGAAAGAGAAGGAACGGAGAAGGAGGAAGAGGAGGATAAGGAACGGAGAAGCAGAGATGTATGCTCTTGGAGGGGGGGGGGCGACCATATATATATATATATATATATATATATATATAAGTATGTATATACATATTTGTATGTATGTATGTGTGCATGCATGTATGTATGTATGCATGCATGTATGTATGTATGTATGTATGTATGTATGTAGGTAGGTAGGTAGGTAGGTCGGTAGGTCGGTAGGTCGGTAGGTCGGTAGGTCGGTAGGTCGGTAGGTCGGTAGGTCGGTAGGTCGGTAGGTCGGTAGGTCGGTAGGTAGGTATGTATGCATACATATATCCATGTATATATATATATATATATATATATGTCTAACTATATGTATATACACGTATACATCCGTAAGGGCTTTATTGCCGCCGGCCCCTTCCTATCCGAATGGGATATGCCAGAGTTATGCTGGATTTCCTCGGCGCCATTGTGAAGCAGTGTCGGAACCTCATGCGAGGGCGACTGGTAAGCGGCATATTCAGGTTCACAACGTATTGTTGAATTCATTATTTGCTAGGGTTTATGGCCTCGGGGGGACGCAAATATTGCTTAATCTATCAGGGCCTATGGCCTCGGGGACGCAAATCTTATGTAATTTACACGGTTTATGGCTTCGAATACGCGAACATTGTGTCATTTACGAGGGTTTATGGCTTCAGTGGCGCGAGTATTAGGTAATATAAAAGATTTTATGGCCCCAGGGATGCGAATATCTTTTAATTTTCGAAGGTTCACTGCTTCGGGGGCACGAATCTAGTGTACTTTATGAATGTTTATGGTTTCGGGGACGTGAATATCGGGAAAGTCATTAGGGTTTATGGCCTCGAAGCTGCGAATCTGGTGTAATTTATAAGGTTGTATGGCTTCGGGGACGCGAATGCTGTGTAATTTGCGGGGGTTAATGGCCTCGAGGGCGCGAACATTGCGTAATTTACGAGGTTGTATAGCCTCGGGGACGCGAGAATGTTGTATTTTTGCGAGGGCTTGTGGCCTCGGATCGATGGCTTCGGGGACGCGAATCTTGAGTAAGTTACGGTCTCGGGGGCGCGGACATCGTATAATTTACTAGGGTTTATGGTTTCGAGGACGCGAGTATGGCGTCATTTATGAAGGTTGATGGCCTCGAGGACGCGTATATTGCGTGATCTGCGAGGGCTTCTGGCCTCGGGGATTCGAGTACCGTGTAATTTACGAGGGCTCATGGCCTCAGGGGCGCGAGTCTCACGTATTTTTAAGTGTCCCACGGCCTCCGGGGTGTCTGCGAACCCCGGAGGGGCGTGGTAAAATTAAGTTTTTCGATTCCCAGTAACGATTGGCAGTAGGAAACAGAAAGTAGAGCCATCACATTGGAAAGTGGAAACTGCAACTGGTGCAGGGAGCAGCAAGCCTTCGCCCTACAGCCTGGTGGCCCCACGGGGGGGCCGGCGGATATCTATATCTATACATATATATACATATATATATATATATATATATATATCTACATATCTACTATATACAAATAAGGATGCGTGTTTTTATATATATTGCGAAGGCCTTACGGCCGGTGCCGCCGACCCTGGAGGCCTCACGAGGCGTGAGGTTGCGGCCAGGGGCGCCCGTGCCGCCTTCATGGGGGCGGCGGGCGCGGCTCGGCCCACCGGCGGGGCGGCGCGGGCTGGCTCAGTGCGCTGTGGTCGTCGTCGTCGTCGTCGTCATCGTCGTCGTCGGGTGTGCTGTCACACGACGACGGCGGCGGCGACGACGACGACGACGACGACGCTGACGTGGGTGAGATTCCTTGGATGCTTCGTGGGGTCTCTTTGGAGCGCTCTTTCGGGTCTCTGGGGAGCAGTTTGGGGGCCTGTTGGGAGTCGCTTGGGGGCCTCTTGGAGCTTCCTGGGGGCCTCCTTGGGGCCTCGTGGGGGCCTCCTGGAGCCTCTTGGGGCCTCCTGGGAGCCTCTCAGGGCTGAGAGCTCGACATGTCAGGTCGGGTCCCGCATCTGGGCACCCTCTTGGAGCCGTCTTGGGCGCCTCTAGGACCGTCTTGGAGACGTCTTGGGCCGTCTTTGCGCTTTCTTGGGCCGTTTTGGGACCCTCTTGGAGGCCTCTTGGGCCGTCTTAGGGCGATCTTGGGGGCCTCTTGGCGTGTCTTGGAGCGTCGGGAAGGGGAAGAGTCGAGAACGCCAAAATCATTCAAAAAACAATAGGAAATCAATGAATTTAGCTTCTTGGGGCCGTCTTGGGAGTGCTCCTGGTAGGCCTCTTGGAGCGTCTTGCAGGGCTCTTGGGTCGTCTGGAGTCCGTCAAGGCGTCTTGGACAAGTCGTTCGGCGATTCGGGGCCCTTTTGGACCGTCTTGGAGGCCTCTTGGGGCACTCTTGGCCCGTCTTGGAGCTTTTCTGGGCCCCGGGATCCCCGGGGAGGGGGCGTCGTATCTGACGCGCGCCCCCCCCCGGGACCCCCCCCCGGGACCCCCCCGGGACCCCCCCCCGGGACCCCCCCCCCCCCTCCCGGCGGGGGAGGGATCAAAGGGAAGGGGCTTCCCTTCGACTCAATTACGACGTTGCTCAAGTTCGGTTTGGCTGGCGCGCTTGAGGAGGAGGCGCTGGGGAAGGAGAGGGGAGCGGCGACGGGCTTTTCTGGGCCCCGGGATCCCCGGGGAGGGGGCGTCGTATCTGACGCGCGCCCCCCCCCGGGACCCCCCCCCGGGACCCCCCCGGGACCCCCCCCCGGGACCCCCCCCCCCCCTCCCGGCGGGGGAGGGATCAAAGGGAAGGGGCTTCCCTTCGACTCAATTACGACGTTGCTCAAGTTCGGTTTGGCTGGCGCGCTTGAGGAGGAGGCGCTGGGGAAGGAGAGGGGAGCGGCGACGGGCCCAGGGAAAGGGGGGGCGCAGGGGAAAGGAGACGACAGAGACGACGACTAACGAATGACGGAGATGACGAGTCGAACGGACAAGCCCCTCACACACGCCGACAGGGTCGGCGGATATATATATATATATATATATATATATATATATATCTATACGTGTTTATGCATGCTTGCATGCACGTGTGTCAAATTTCAAAGCATCTATGAGCCTATCCGAATCCGGAATCAGTGTCCGTGGTGTGGTCTTCAGGATGCTTTCCTGTATGGTCTCCCGTACGGTCCCCCCTAGTCTCCCGCATGGTATCCCGTAGGGTCTCCGATGTGGTAACCCGCATGGTCGCACGCATGGTTTCACGCATGGTTTCTCGTATGGTCACCTGTCTGGTCTTCAGTATGGTCTTCCGCATGGTTTGGTATGGCTCCTCTCCTTATGGCTCCTCTCCGTATGGTGCACCATATGCGCACCACAACTTTTCTTCACATTTGCAGGGGATCTTCGCTGTCGGGGTCTTTTGCCGCCAGGGTGTAGCCTGTGATCAGGGTTTCAGGAAGGAGCCGCCTGTCCCCGACCGTTTGGACGGACATTGTTGCTCTTCTCTCCAGCGTGGGCTCCAGCACGAAGGTGCCCGAGCAGGCTGCCGCCGTCTCCAGCACGAAGGTGCGTGTTCCCTGAGATTCGACGTTGTGAATCGAAGCATCGGAGAAAATCGCGCCTGGAGCTCTTGGAGGTTTTAGAACGGGTTGAGCAGAGGGGCCATACGTGTGATGTTGGGCAAATGGAATATTCTGCCTGTCTCTGGTGTGCACTCGCCAACACCCTGCTGCCTATCTCCGCTCAAGTTGTTTCTGGTCTGAAGGAGGCCTGATGGGCCCCTCGCCGGCCCTCATCAGTCACATCCAGACCGCGGGCGTGCGCGCTCTGGAGTTGCTGGCGCTGCGGCAGTCGATCATCTCGGGGGTGCCGTCGTGCCCCGCGGTGTCGCTGGCGTGCCCGCCGGCGAACCTGACCTGCCCGCCGCAGGTCTGCCCCGCGCTGACGTGCTCACCGCCGCCCTGCCCTCCCCCAGCGTGCCCGGCGCCGCTGGTCAACCTCTCCTGCCCGCCTGCAGGAGGGATCGTGGGCGCCGGCGAGTTCGACTCACCCTCGGCGTGCTGGGGGACTCTCGCAGGGATCGCGGCTGGGCTGGGGCTCGGCCGCGCCGCCCCGCGCCGCGGGCGTGCTGCTGCCGCCGAGAAAGATGATGATCGCGCACCGTCCCCTGCCCCCGCTCGCCGCGGAGGGGGAGTGGTGCGCTGACTTGGCGGTCGGCACCCTGGTCCGGGTCTCCTACACCGGGGAGACCATGGACCACACGAGGGTCGTGCTGTGGCCCAGTCGCCGCCTGGACCAGAGGCGGCGGGTGCGGGGGCGGCACGCCTACTGGGTGCTCTCCGCGGACGGCGACGTCTGGGAGGAGGACCTGAGCGGGAGGAATGCGGCGACCGGACCGTCGGGCGGGTCGCTGCTGGACCAGGCGACTGGGGATCCGCCCGACGGCCGCCGCCTCTATCGGTTCCGTGCGCGGCCCAGCCTGGACGAGGTCGTGGAGCAGGCGGCGGAGTGCCGAGCCACGATGCTCAGGCGTGGGCAGGCCGAGTCGGAGGCGCCGACGAGAGTGGTGCTGGCCGACGGGGCGGTGCGCCCCGGCCACGACCACTTCCCGTGGCTCGTGGCCCCGCGCCCCTGGGTGCTGACGGAGCCGCTCCCTGGCATGCCAATCGGGACCGTGGTGGATCCGCTCCCGGTGGGGGCGTTGCGCGACGGGAGCCGGGCCCTCGGCTTGCTGCCGAGCTGCGGCCGCTGGGCGAGGCTCGAGCAGGTGGACGAGGGCCAGATCGTCGAGTGGGCTGCCAAGAGGACGAAGGAGCTGCTGCTCGACCTCGGCGCGGAGCCCGACGCCATGGGCACCGCGGAGCCGGTCGGCGGGACTGAGACCCCGCCGCTGGGGCGAGAGGCTCGCTCGGCCGGAGGCGACCGCCTGGGCGAGAAGCTGGGGCTAGCCGCCGAGGAGCCCGCCGAGTCGGCCGCAGGGAAGAACGACGCCTACGGCGACGCGCGCACGCTGTGGGTCGACTGGGACGAGCAGGGCGAACGCAGGAAGGAGTTCAAGCGAGCGGTGGCTGAGAGCTCGGATGTGAAGTGGGACCATCATAGGCTGCCCGCCGATCGCACCTGCCTCCACACGTGCAAGATGATGGTGAACTTGAGCGGGTCCCCACGCGCGTGGCTGGAGCGCTTTCTCAGGGAGAAGGGGATAGCTTCTACGGATCGAGTCGCGCACGAACTCCGAGTGTTGTGCGACATCTTGGAGGAAGCTGGAGAGTTTGACCAGATCAACCTCGGAGGACTGGCCTGCTTGGAAGTGGCCGCCCTCCGGCTGAACCTGCTGGTGGACGCGCACAAGAGCGGGTCGGCCTCGTACTCGAACGCGAAGTACCTCTCGCCGCTGACCGAGGTGGACCAGTTGATGGCTCCTGGCTTGCGGTCTCACGTGTCGAGGCGCGCCAAGGAGGAGTACGAGCTGATGCAGGGCGACAAGAGGGCCGAGGCGGTCGCTGCTGGTGCGGCTGGCGCGCGGGTTCCACCGCGCGAGGGGGCCGATGATGCGGCCAAGGGTGGCAAGGGCGGCGGCGGGGGCGGCCGGGGTAATAAGGCCCGGGCGCGTGCCCTCGCGCCGCCCGTGCAGGCATGACGGACCAGTCTCAGCCGGCGGAGTGGGCCCCTGCCGGCTGGGCTAACACATCGGCCCGGCGAGCGCCTCTGGCCCTGGCGAGCGGGGATAGGGACCTCTTCCCCCTCCCTCGCCTGGCCAGGCCGCCCGCCAGCAGGGGCGGCAGCCGCGCCCGGATTGCTGGCGCTCGGCGGCGGCGCGAGCACGAATTGGTGAACGGCGCGATCGACTCTCTCAACTGGCTTGCTGGATGGGAGCCTGACGACGTGGGCCCGCCGCGCTCCCTGGACGCCATGGGGGGCAAGCATGCTGGGATCGTACAGTGGGTGGCCAGCGAAGCTCTTCGGCGCCAAGCCGCAGCTCCCAACCCCTGTCCGTCCCAAGAGGCATCGCTCAGTGCGTTGCTCAAGGGGTGCTCGATCTACGACACGTCGGGCTCCCCGAGGAACCTGGCCTCCTTCGTCCGCGAGCGCGTGTCCTTGCCCCCTTCGGTTGTCGGCTGCTTCCAGGTGGACGATATCGTGGGCGAGGCCGGCCGCACCTACCTGAAGGAGAATCAAAAGCGTATGAGGCGGCCGATCGAGGAGATCGATTTTGACAACTTGCCGACTCCCTATTTTGACCCGCTGCTGAAGCGGAACAAGAAGATGTACCACAACTTTTTGAAGGACCTCTCGTCCCGCGGGCTCTTGCTTGCCACCTTGTCTCCCGCAGAGCAGGCTGGCCTGTTCTTCGTGAAGAAGGCCGACAGCGACAAGATGCGCATGATCGTGGATGCGCGTCGGGCGAACGCGTGGTTCGGCGTGCCCCCCAGCGTCCAGCTCCTGTCGTGCGAGGGGTTCGGCAGGGTGGAGGTGAAGCTCCCAGAGGGCGTCGCCTTCGGCTCGGCGCGGGGCGAGGAGCTGCTGAACGGCTTCAAGCTCTTCTTGGGCATGACGGACGTCAAGGACTGCTTCTACAGGATGCGCATCCCGGTGAGCCTGGCGAAGTTCTTCTCGCTGCCCGCCGCTCCGGCTCACGTCCTGGGCCTGGAGGGGCACGAGCTGGAGGGGACGAGGCTGGGCTGCGACACCCTCGTCTTCCCCTGCATCGGGGCTCTCCCCATGGGATTCTCTTGGTCCCTCTTCCTCGCCCAAGACGCGAACGAGGAGAGGGTGGTCCGGTCTGATCCGTGGCCAGGGGGAGACGTGGCAATCTCGGAGCGGGTCCTGATGAGTTATCGCGGACCTCCGCTCGTCGTGGAGGTTGAGCCCGGGCTGCACGGGGGTGCCTACGTGTACGTCGACAACATGGGGGTGCTCGCCCCCTCGGAGGGCCTCGCCAAGAGCGCCCTCGAGAGCTGGACTGGTCTCTTTGAGGGGGTCGGCCTGGACTTGCACAAGAGCTCGGTGGGCTCGGGCGCGAGCGAGGCGCTCGGGACCAAGCTTGACCTCGAGCTGATGAGGTCGGGCGTGAGCGACGGGCGGTTCTGGAAGGTGTACCTGGGGCTGGGGGGCCTGCTGGCCCGCGGCCGGGCGACAGGGCGCGCCTTGGAGGTGGTGCTGGGCCACTGCACCTTCTGCGGGCTGGCCCTCCGAGGGTCGCTGAGCTGCTGGCACGCCTCGTACCGCTTCATCCAGCGGCACTACCTGGAGCCTGCCCGCCTGTGGGCAGAAGTCGTGAAGGAGATCAAGATGTTCCGCGGGCTGCTCACCCTGATGGTTCAGGACTGGTGGCGGCCATGGAACTGCTGCGTGCTCCAGACCGACGCGAGCGAGAGCGGCTGGGGCATGGCGCAGTCGTTCTGGCCGCAGCACGTGGTGGAGCAGGTCGGCCGGCTGCCTGAGCGAGCCCGCTTTCGTTCGGCGCTGGGCAGGCCGGCGCGAGAGAGCGCGCTCGCTGCCGCCAACCTTGCTCGGGACAGCTCGGGCGCTCTGTGCAGTTTTGCGGATATGGATAATCCTGACTCTCTTGCGTCTGACCCCCTGTCCTCGTGGGAGCTCGACCCCGGGTTCGCTGAAGTGCCCTGGCAGTGGCTCCGAAAGGGGGCCTGGGAGACCGTCCGGTCCGGGGTCTGGCGTTTTGCTGAGGACATCCTGATCCTTGAAGCCAGGGCCCTCGTGAAATCGATCCAGCGGCTGGCTAAGACCGCGCACGGGGTCTGTGTGCGACAGCTCTTTCTGTCCGACAATATGTCTGTGGTGCTATCCTTTTCCAGGGCTCGTTCGTCCCGCTTCAGCTTGTTGGTTCAGATCCGTCGATTCTATGCCTATGCAATTGCGTTGGGGCTTACACCCGCTATTCGATGGATCCCCTCGGAGTTTAATGAAAGCGATGAAGGCAGCAGGGTTTTTTCTGAGAGTGACAGTAATATTCTCACATCCCTCCTTGATGAGAAGTTCCAGGCCGATCTGAATCTGCTCACCCGTCCTCCAAGAGCCGTCCCTGTGAAAGACAATACGCGGGATCCTCTCCGTAGCCGTTTTGGCTCAAACCATTCTCGCTTGGCTGAGGTTCCCGAGGCTCCCGACTTGCCAGAGACGGCGGGCCATGGCCCCCGAGAGGGCTCGGGTGCTGGCCGAGCCGGCGCCGCGGGCGCGGACGCCCCCTCAGCGGGCGGGCGCTCGGCGGCCGGCCGCGCGGACTCGTGCGCTGGCGGCCGTGGCAGCGCCGGCGTGCTCGCGCTCGGACCCGAGCGGCGCGAGGGCGATCGCCAGCCCCGGGGCGCTGGGCCGGGCGCGGATACTGGCGCCGGCCCCCCTCTTGCCTTCGAAGAAGAGGGCCAGCCAGGCCGGACGGCATCTTTCGGCCCTCGACGAGAGGGACGCGAACGGGCTGGACCTCGCTGGAGACGCCGGGGAGGACGCCGAGGGCGACAGCAGCTCCAGCGGCTCCGACTCGGTGGTGGAGCAGCTGGGGCGGACTCGGGCCCGAATGCGGCAGCTGCGCGCGCGGAGGGCGCACCGGCGGGCGAAGCTGTACGCCGATGCTATCCTGGCGGCGCAGGGCGAGGGCGTGAGCCTCCTGGAGACCCTGGCGGTGACCCAGGCGACGCAGGTGAGGTACCAGCGATATCTCGATCGTTTCTACTCGCGTGTCGGCCTGAGCCGGAGGCAGATCCTGGCGAAGCCGGACACGGAGATCGACGAGCTCATGTGCAACTACATGACCGAGAACTACTTGCAGGGCGAGCAGAGCAACTACGGGGACCAGACGGTCGCAGCCTGGGTCAGCGCGAACCCGGACTTCGGTCGCGTGGGAGGTCGCAAGCTGCCGCGGACTTGGCGGGCGCTGAAGGCCTGGCGCAGGCTGACTCCGGGCAGGCGGCGGAAGGCCCTTGCCCTCCCGGTCTGGTGCGGGCTGGCTTGGAGGCTGGCGCAGCGGGGACACCTACGCCTGGGCATCTTCTTGATGATAGGCGTATCGATCTATGGTCGGCCCTCGACCTTGCTGGCCGCCCGGCGGTGCGACCTTGTGCCTCCGTCGCCTGGTGTCAGCAGGCACTGGGCCCTGTTGACCCACCCGCTGGAGCGGAAGAGGCCCAGCAAGCGTGGGCACTTCGACGAGGGCTGCCCCCTGGACTCGCCGTACCTCCAGGGCTTGGACGAGGTGTTCGAGCGGCTGGCCTCGACGACGTCGAAGGAGCCGCTGTGGAACTTCAGCTACCCCGAGGCAGCGACGCTGCTCAAGGAGGCGGCGGAGGACCTCGGGGTGGCCCCAGTGACATTGTACCAGATGAGACACTCGGGCGCCAGCGTCGATTTGGCGAAAGGCTGGCGCAGTCTGACCTCGGCGCAGCGACGCGGGGAGTGGACGCAGGCGAAGTCAATGCACCGCTACGAGCACAGCAGCAGGCTCGGCAGCGACTATGCAAAGCTCGACCCCCGGCTGCGCGCGACGTGCGAGGAGGCGGAGAGGCAGCTGGCACTCATCCTGACGGACCGGCCCCACAACGTGCAGATGTGGCGCAGGTGAGTCAGCTGCACCTGGGATACCGTGGAGGCCGCTCTCGTGGCCGCCTTCGCCGCTCGCGCCTCGGCAAGGGCCAGTACCTTGGCGATCTCTTCGCGGGCTGCCGAGCGGTGTCTCGGGCGGCCGAGGCCGAGGGCTTCCGTGCGAGGAGTTGGGACGTCATCTATGATGCAAAATGGCAGGACTTGTTGTCGCCGGCCGTGCTGCGGGCGATCAAAGCTGACGCTCGAGCTGGCCGGCTGGTGGCCGCGACAATGGCCCCTCCGTGCCAGACTTTTTCCCTCGCGCACGACAGGTCGAGACCTGTGCGCAGCCGCGAGGAGCCATGGGGCTTCCCCGCCTCCCAGCTGACGCCTGCCGATGCCGATGCAGTGGAATTAGGCAACCGCCTCGCTCGGGTTGCTCTTTCTCTCTTCAGATTCTTTTTGAAGCTGGGGGTTCCCGTAATCCTCGAACATCCCTTGACGAGCCGGCTGTGGCATACTGCTGAGGTGTGCGACTTATCGCACCATAAACATGTCTCTCTGGTAGAACTGGACCAGTGTCAGTATGGAGCAAGATGGAAGAAGCCCACACGGCTCCTCTGTGCACACGTGAATCGGGAAGATATAATTAAGCTCACCCGTCGATGCCGACCAAAGGGCTGTATATGTTCTAAGACTGGAAAACCCCATTGGCAACTCAGCGGCGGGGGGCCTGGTGGCCTCCGCCGCACCCGCATTGCTTCTGAATACCCTCCTGGTCTGGCACGGGCAATGGTCTCTACCCTCTTAGCTAGTACTGTTGAAAAGCGAGCTTGTCACTCCCACCCTTTCTCTCCCCACCCTAGCGAACATCCAACCTGGATAGCTTCGGGATGATTTGGGAGAAGGAGTTTTAAGGCATGCCTTTAAGCTCAAAGCCTCTGGCCATGACGAGTCCAGAGTTTCGCTAGATTCAGTCTCCGCAAGAAAAATGGGACCGTTGCTCTGGAGGTTTTAGAACGGGTTGAGCAGAGGGGCCATACGTGTGATGTTGGGCAAATGGAATATTCTGCCTGTCTCTGGTGTGCACTCGCCAACACCCTGCTGCCTATCTCCGCTCAAGTTGTTTCTGGTCTCCCGCCCCCCCAACCCTCGGGGAGAATGAGTTTTAAGGCATGCCTTTAAGCTCAAAGCCTCTGGCCATGACGAGTCCAGAGTTTCGCTAGATTCAGTCTCCGCAAGAAAAATGGGACCGTTGCTCAGGCCTTACCGTTCTGAGCCATTTCTCGAGCCGGACCGATCTGGGAGGGTCCTGGGACCCGAAACTGGGCAAGAACGTCCGTTGTGAGACATCGCAACGCCCAGATCTGAGGGTTGTCTCTGGTCCGCTACGTGAGCAGACCGTCGCCGTTTGCGCGCGCAGGCCGTAGCGGTCTGGGCCGCCGCCACCGCAGCTCAGTAATCGTTTAACCGATCCCTATCCTCATCCCCATCTCCATCCAGACCCCCACCATCTCAAAACCCCAGTTAGGGCATGTGCCCCTCGAAGCCCGAAGCAGACGGCCTACCTCCCCGTCCAGGGGGGGTAAATCGGCCAGTGGGACCACGGCCGCGCCCATTAGGATAGGGGTCGTTTAAACCATGTCCGTCGGTGCTGGTCCCCCGGGCTGGCGCGGGCGAGACGCGGCGTGGGGGGCTCGCCCAGCTGCGGCGGAGCTCAGCCTGGGGAGGGGGGGGGAC